GATTGTTGTTGTGACTTGGCAATATATGAATAAAACTGATTTGAATTGAATGATATACAAATTGTTTTGATAAACTTTACCATTTTTAAAAACAACAGTATAGAAATAATGAGTTAAATTACAAATTTGAAGCAGCAGTATTTTCTTTTTTGTCCACTTGGACAATTATTGTCTGCTTTTGAGCCGAGAAAACAATTTAACCAATTTGAAGAAAATGTGTAGCAACAGTTGAAACACTGCAATCTCACCTGATGAGAAACGCAACAGCAATAATCAATCCCAGGATGCTCAGCCGAGACAGGACGCCCAGAGCAATGACCAGCGCCTGATTGGAGGTGGACCCTTGAGGGTCCACCATCTCAACATCAAAATGAAGCTCCTCCCCAAACAACTGAGACAGCTCTGCATTCACACCATCTGATTGGCTCTGCAGTTTCCTGGTGGATCAGACAGCAAGAGGTCAAAAGAAATTTTTTACACAGTTCACCAAGGTGATCTTTCCCTGATTATATCTAAATATAGAAGTTAATTTTTATGAGACCAGGTTTAGATTTCAAACTGGTCAAAATGGTAGGTGCCTCTGGAAAATTACTCAAAATCAACATTACTCAGACTAATGAATATCAGGCAAGTTTGCTAAAAACCAAAGCAAAACAATACTGAGTGTCTAACAGATGGGCCTGATGTAGAACACAGTAGAAGTCAGTCTCTTACTTTATGACTGCTTCAGAGGAAACAACCTCCCCTCCATCTACAGCAAAGAAACGGACCAAAGTCCTCACAGAAACTCTCAGGTTTCGGGTGCCAGTGGATCCATCGTTAGCGCTGAACACCTGAACGATGTTCACAGTCCAGCCCAGAACTTTGCCCAAAGACCTGGGAGACACAAAAATCTATTAGAAGTAACAGAAGTGGATTATAGAAAGCAATCTTTAACACCAGCTAAACCTGTCTTACGTCGATAAATCTTCAACTTTCTTCTCCACAATGTTAGCAGGCTGATTAAGTGAGATGGTCACAATGTTGGAGCTGCTTGCACTTGCCTGAACCATCACCTGGGGGCAGAAGAGAGATTAATTTAACTTGGAATTTAACTTCTTATTAACCTGTTTTATTGAACAAAATAAACAAGAAGATGAATTAAAAGGAAATACCTTGTATTTATGCATATGAAAATCAGCTATCAGTTCTTTTTTGCGTAATTATTATTAATAAAGACTTTTGTCTTTATGCGTTGGGGGGGGGGGCTGCTGCATTTCAGACTTTCGTGGCCTGCTCACCCTGTGAACTAAGCTTTTAAAGGCATCGCTTTTATTTAGGAACAGGTTTCGAATGTGTCCTTCGATGATGATGTCAATAAAGATATTTGAATATAAAAAGCTTGCAGTTATCATCTCATCAGATTTACCTGTCTTCATCTGGTCTTAAACACTCACCTCCACTACAGCGGTAGCATGAAGATCGTGGGGATCAGTGGCCTTCACCTCCATTTTAGCTGTCTGTCCAGCCAGTTCTGTTGCTGAGATCACATAGACCAGACCTGAGGATGGGTTAATGTCAAAATAAGGACTTTCTGCTGTCAAACTGTAGACCAGCTGCCCCACATCTCCAACATCAGGATCTGAAGCCTGGAGGTAGAGAGCAAAAAAAGCACTTAAAACCTTTATGAACTAATGTAGTCGATTGTAGTTGATACTAATTTGTGAGCTACTGGATTAAACCAAAAGTCTAAAACGAAGTTATCCAAACTAGCTCCACATCAGTGAGTGACAGCAGTATAATGCTGCTTAATCATTTATGCTTCAGTTTTAACAATGTAATTTATTTAAATTTGTAATAATTGTCATTCTTTTGCAAATTGTTCTTTTTATATTCTAAGCACAGTTAGCCA